TGGCCTGCATCTTTATTGATGTGGTGTTATTTCGATCTACCTCTGTGAGATGCTCCCGCTTCTTGATTTACGCAATGCGCAGCGAAATCATGGCCAGCCCGCCGCTTGAGACCCTACGCCCTGTCTTGCACGCAATCACATCAAGCCTGAATCTTTGCTACGACGGGTGTGATGAACATGGCCAAGTGCTATTTCCGGAGAAAATACGGTGTTGTGTAGCCGAGCTACGTGGAGACCAAGCTTGGTTTCGAATGCTGTTCCGCCACCGATCCTATTGGGGGGCCAAAAAGGTTTGCTTCAGGTGCGGAGCAAATATCACAAACAGGTTTTACACAAATACAGCACTTTGGATGGGGACCGAGCGCAACACACCCCGTTTTGTGGCCGAAGAACTGCCATTTTTGCCATGTGCCTCAGGTCAGCAATTAACTGCGGTTGTTTTCTTTGTGGGTTGTGTCTTTTCCTTCTAATTTTGAGGATCAAAGTCACCAAACGGTAGGCTACAAGGGCAACCACAATTTTCTGTTAACTTTTAACGAACCCTGCCCATAGTGTTGCCAGCCTAGCATCCGCCCAGCCTGGCAGCGCCTGTGAGCCTGAGCTGTGAGAAACCCAAGGCCCACTTACATACCTTCGAGATTTTCACGTGTGCCTTCTCAAAGGTTGCACAATGCATATACTGAATTTGGGGCTCGCCCAAAGTTCAAATGGAGGATGTTTGCCGCTCGGCTCATCTTGGGTACACACATTAAATTCAGCGTCTCAGGAGGAGGGTTCCTTACAGTGCCCTGCAGGATGCTGCTCATTTCGATGGGGGCATTTGGGCGGTTTGATGCTGATCTCAAACAAAACCTGGATTCCAGCTATGCAGATTTCTGCTCGTGGAAGAAGATCAACAAAATCTCATGCAGCCATAAACGCTTCTCCGTCAAGAGTGTGGCTTGGCCTGTTGTGGGAATCGGCTTAGTGATGCTTTCTGGGAGGCATTTGTGCCATGACACCAGTCTGCAACTCAATTTCATTAATTTATTTATAAGACTGGCCCCAAGTTGCCCACCAAAGTTAATTTATCTTGGATGCAGCCTGATCCTAATCCCTCATAAATCAACCAATCCCCATTGGGGGCACCCAAGAATGCAGTACTCGAGGTTGGGGGTGGTCCAACATATTACTTCCAATATATTGTGGGGTCGGGTTTGTAAAGTAGTCCTCCCCTAGACACAAAATCAGACGGGTCAGGATGTTTTCACAACGGGCGCAAACCTTGTGACCGCCGTTTGGGGGTGGGGCGTGTGAGGTGAACCAGCCTGCGAATGGACATTTTTTGGTGTCGAAAGCTTGGAACTGCCGGATCCTTTGCCAGTGGCTAGCTGACTGTGCTGATCGCTCTTGGCGCCGGGACTGGCCACACGAAGAAGGGCGAACTTTGGGCAAATCTATAGCTTCGGGTTATACCCAACTGCAAGAAAACCAGCGGCTAGCCCCCACAGTTCTGGCCCAGCGCCTCAATTGCATTTTCAATAGAACCGGTCTTTCGCATATTTAGGAAGGTTTGGTCCCAGCCCATGCTGAGGACCGCGCTGTGCAGGTTCTTCTGCTTGCAGGAGCGTGCTGGCCGTCATCTGACACTAGCTACGCATATATGCAAGTGCGCCCCGTTCTACTTTTTGCCCCCCCCCCCCCCAAGGACAAAATGAATTTCGTTCCATGGCCAGTGAAACCGTTTTCGAAACTCAAGGTTTTAGCGTGTGCCTTGAGATGCGGCGTTGGCCGGGCAGCACTCAAACATTGTCAGTCATTGATTCAGGAATGACCTGGAGGCCAATGCAATCTATCAAGCGGGGAAGACTTACCTGTCCAACTACACTCTGTTGGCCACTTTGTGTGCGAGGCCTGAGCTTAATTTATCGGCATTGTGGAATTTCGAGTATGAATATTCATGCTCATGTGCATGCATGCAGCACATGGATTTCAATATGCCTCCGGGAGGGCGGGAATCCTCGCCTATGTCATCCGGCCAAAAATCCATGCCCTTTGCTTGCACATGGATCAACGCGGTTGAAACAGCTTTGGAACGTTGGAACACGTTGGAACTAAGATGCTGGACCATATCCTGGAAACGGATGTGAGAGCGCTCCACACGAACCCAAGGTTTGTGCACACATATGTAGATGAGGATGCGATGAGGTGGGCCAAACAGGCCGCACGTCGCTGTGCACCTTCCCGCCTTGAATGGGGCTTGCTGAGACGTGCAAGGCTGCGATTGCATAGCATGCGCTGGGTGCTGCGTGGCTTGAAGCGCAAACGCCAGTAGCCTTTTTAGCGTGCGAAGGGCAAACCGTGAATGAGCGTGAAAAGGCGTGAATACGAAGATGATAAGTTTACTCGGGAGCCCACGGGAAATCCAAGTTTAACTTCGCCTTTGGAAGCCCAGGGCTCAGTTCTTCAGTGGCACCGAGTCTCTTTTTCCAACTTCTTTTTTGGTGGCCCCACGAGAAAGAATCGGAAGCCTCAAAAAGGGTCTCCATTTTTTTGTTTTTCGGGGTCACTGAACAACTGACCCCTAGAAACCTGAGGAAGAGGCATTTAGTCAGGTGCGCCACTTGCTCAAAACCGATTTGGGTAATTGGAGTAAGGGAGAATCCCCTTGCCATAAATAGCTGCGGAATTCCGCCTTCATTCTTGAAGCATGGTTCTGGGACGATCATTTTTGTACCGATCGGTTTTGATTATGACTCAGGTCCCTTTCCAAGTGCCCATTCATTCTTTCTGGCTGGCTGGTCCTCCATTTAAGTCAGCCCCAAAGAAATGCACCCGGAAGAGACAGAAAAGCCATGCAAATCGTCTTGTTTTTGGCAGTGTTCCGTCTCGGCGAATTCCCTGGTCTTGGGTGTGGCTCTGTTTGATGCGTGGATGGACGAAATCCTGCACCGTCTAAGAAACCCTGACATGAAGATTCCCCCGTAAATGCCAACAAACAATGATTTCTCATGGTTTCAATGTCATGCAGGATTTCGTCCATCCACAGTATTGGCTCAGAATCCGCGTTGGGGACTGGGCGTGGCCTTTTTTGGAGGGAAGCCCCTTGTTCGCTCTTGCCTCTCTCTAATGTGGCACGTGCTCTTAAGGGTACCTGGAAGATCAATTTCCTCGAGGGCCCATCTGTCAGGTGTGGCAAGGGAGGGACAGGGTACACAGAATTTGTCAAAAGACACCCAATTTGTGGTTTCGCTTTGGTTTTCCCAGGTGGTATCCCAGGTGGTATCCCAGGTGGTATCCCAGGTGGTATCCTTTTGGTTGTCCAAATTTATAAAGCTAAGCCCAGGTGGTATCCCCAACAGCCCCGAAGCCCGTTTGCATAATGCTGCCTCACATCACCCCTCTGCTGTTTATTTGGGCCCATCGACCCCAAAGCTTTCAGTCCACAACAAACACAACAAGGGTGTGTCTTTCTTTGAGTTGGTCCCCGTTTTTTCTTAGTCAGGGGAACCAGCAAGAAAGCATTGTGTCCTTTTCTTGAGTTGGTATCCTCTTTTTTGTTTGTGGTAAAGGGAAACCAACAGGGAAGCCACCTGGGGCCATTTTTTGAGGTCCCCGAAACCTAAACAAAGGAATAGTGGCGCCGGCACCTTGAGAAGCCGCATGCTTTGAAAAACAAATTTCTACAGTTCACATCACTGAGGAGCTCGTCTTATTTTGGTGGCTCCCAGCCGTCCCCTTAGTTTTTTAGCCTTTTGGTGTTGAGTGGTAGTTTCCATTGAACCCATGCTAAACTTTTAGCGGGGGATCTGAGGGCAGCCCGGTTATGTGGTTGTTTGCTTTTTGTTTCGATTTACCAAGGTGCTATGTTGCTACATTTGCTTGAGCCACAGCCATAGTTGGTTCAATTGGATGGCAGGGGTTCCAACATTTGTGCATTGGTACATGTAGGGGTCCCAAAGGGGACTTGGGTGGGTCATACCGGGGATCAGAAACCCTGGAATGGTTCGATTCCCACGTAACTACCCAACAAACAGTGGTTTCAACCTGGTGTCAAAGTGGTGCGAAATGGGTTTTGTCCCACCCCCAGACGCTCCAATTCGATGCATTTAGGGCTCAAACAGCCGGGTTTTGAGACCCCCAAACACCTCCTGGGTCTCGTTTTGGAGGGGGAGGGGGTCTTCCATTGAAAGCCGAGGCCGATCGGAGCCTCTGGACCCACAGTTTTTCAAAACTTGGATTACCCTTCGTCCACCTGGCCGACCCAAGTAGAAGCTCTGCTGACCCAGACTTGCCGTGGGGGAGGCTATGGGGGAGTTGGTGGGGATGCTGATGTAACCTCCCCAATTTAGGAGAGGTTCTGAGAGATGCTCCGAGCAAATGGTACATGTTTCAGACTAAATCTGCAGGTGTTGTTTCTTTTGGTACCCTTTTCAGATTGATTTAAAAGAGGACAAAAGGACCCCCCTATTTTGACACATACCCATGCACCAGAATCTGGACATACTGCATATGTCCCGAAGTCGGGACAATTCAGCAAGGGGCCTATTGGGGGGGAGGAGAACCTGCGCCTCCCCCCCATGGTCCATACTTCAATCATTCAAATGGCTGTGGGTCAAAACCAATGGTACCATTTTGGGGCAGGTGCACCACCCAGTTTAGTCTATTTTAGGGATGTTCACTGGGGGTACAGGATTTTGACCCATGGCCAAATGTGTGTGGCAAACAAATTTAGGAATCGGATGTCCCAAAAATGAAATGAAGCCATTCTGGACAAGTAGACTTAAATCTGCTGTCCATGTCCTGGAAATATCTTAAAACTTGAGCCACGCCCAAATTAAATCCCCACAATTCGCGGCCCTTCGGTGCTCGTTTCTGTGGAGGGGGTTCTCTTTGGGATCAATTCCCCGGATAAAAAATGCTGCGCCCGAGAATTTCCCCATGAAAATCCTCTGGGGGGACTTGGCAATCCAATTTGTGATTGGTCTTTTAGAACGATCCCAATTCAAAGAGCGTCCCAGGTGCGAGAGCGACACGCACGACCTCAAGCACTGCTCCTTGACCTTCCGTGCCTTGACGATATCGCCCGATCGCCCGATCGACCCGAAGCATCACATGGGCCTGTTTGGACCACAGGCAAAACATCCAGCACGCCCCAACTAATGTTGACCCCATGTTTTCATTAACCGCAGTTTTTGAATAGGGGATGTCGCTCAATTTGGTGGGGGGTTCATCACTTTTGGATAATCTGGGGGCCAACCTTACTGCGTTTCCCATGTCCAAAATCCCACGTAGTGTCCAAAAAGCAGTGGGGGTGCTGGTGGGTCTTGCATTTTTTTTAATGGTTGGACCATTCCAAAATGACTGTCCTTTTGGTTTCCCTTTAAAGCCACTCACAATGGGGTACGAGCCACCCATATGTTTCAAAACCCAGCCCCTAGTCTTTAAACCCAGATTGAAGATTTCTCCAGGGCCCTTCCTTGTTGTTTTGCATTTTAGATTTGAAGCCCTGGCTTAAGAGGGCAAATGGGAAATCAGCTCCACACCTCTCCACAAATCCAAAGCAACAGTTGGAACTGATAAAAGGAGACCCAAGTGATTCAGCAGCTGGACTGGGATAGACTTAGGATACATTTTACATTTCACCAGTGACTCAAAGTGAAGCAAACAATAAAATATACATTCTATAACTGGGCCTAACTCTAATCATGTGGACACCAATTTGTTGGTTGTCAATCAAATCAGACACGTAGCCCTTGCGCTTGTGTTTTTCGTCTTGGTTGCCCTTATGACTGAAATGTGTCTTTGAACTGTGTGATTTCCTCAGAAACATGCACATGTGCTATGAGCAAAGTAGGTCTAAATGCTGGGCTCGTCCTTTTTGCATGGCGTTTCCTGCTACTGTTCTCGAAAGCTCTTTGAAGACGGCGACTTTGCCGCTAAATGTTCTTGACCCTGACAATGAAGCCCCCAGTTTTTGAATCAAGGGTCCCAGTACTCCTGAAATAACGGAATCCAAACACGAAAGAGGGGAAGGGGGGTACTCAGAGGTCAATAGCTTTGTTGAAGCCACTTTCGGTTTTCCCTTGACTACAGGTCTAATTTGTTCGATTTCTTTGGTGATGTTTAAAGGGTTATGTAAGGACCTGCACGGCTGGGGCAAGATGTTTGTTTCAACCATTACATCCCATTGACATGGGGGAGGTGGTTGTCATTGTCGTGTCAACATATTTTCTCGCCCAACTTGTGGTTCCTTAGGTGTATGTTGCCAATATACCCTCGAGTAAGTCATCTCGGGATGGCCCACTTGAGAGAGGTCTGTCTTCCGCCATATAAACAACTCAAGCATTTTGCCCGAGGGATTTCACAGGGGGAGAGCCCAATTTTCTCATGTCATATATGATTCATACAGTCCGGGACGTATACAGATAGCTAGAGTCTCCGTGACTCCTAGAAAAAGGGAGCATGACCCCTTTCTTTTGGGCAATGACCCCATTTTTTAAGGGGCATGGGGAGTCTAGGTACACACACGAGGAGACACGTATTAAGTGATGTTTCCTGGGGGTACCCCTACGTTGCCATGGAACCCACCAGAGGGTCCATTTTGAAGGAATATAGTCTTCTCACATTTTGTCCGAGCAAGAAACGCGGAGCGACCAAACATTTCGGTAGCCAACTCACATTTTTGCTGTGTCCTTTTGGGGCTCCTAGGGTTGTTTTTTTTCTGACCCCGCAACCTCTATCCAATAGACCCTCCCGCGACTCGTTTTCCTGGAGTCTCATGACCCTGTAAAAATGGGTCCATGACCCCATTCTTTTGGGAAATGACCAGCCCATTTGTTTAAACGCCAGAAGGTTTTTTCCAGCTTCCCCTGTCTTCTCGCCTTTTTTTCTTTACCGGTGCCTAGACTCTCCATGACCCTTAAAAATGGTCAGTCATTGCCCAAAAGAAAGATTCGGGATATGATCGACCCTTTTTCTCGGCGTCAGAAGAAGGAGAGAGACTCCAGGTAAAACAAAAAGGCCAAAAAACACGATTGAACCTGCAGAAAACCTTCTGACCCGTACCGGCACCTAGACTCTCCATGACCCTTAAAACATGAAAAATGGTTAGTCATTGCCCAAAAAAAAGCTTCGGGTCATGATCGATCTTTTTTTCTAGGGGTCAGAAAGGAGACTCCAGGTGACTCTAGGTAAAACAAAAAGGCAAGCAAACATGAAAAACAAAACACGGTTGAACCTGGAGAACACCTTCTGACCGGTGGATCATTTCGGTCCGTTTAAAGGTCCTTCCGCTGCGAGGCCTTGGCATCTCCAACGGCCTGGTGGGCCAACACGCGCTGCGCGAGGGCCCGCGGCCGCCCGTCACCTGGGACTTCAAGAAGAGCCTCGTGTGCGACGACCCCGAGGCGCGCGTGATGCGAGCGAACGATACTTTTTTTCGGGGCGGGGAGACGAAGAAAGAGAACGAAAGACCCGGCTGAAAAAAACACGGGGACCCGGCTGGGCCGAAACGCCGAAACGGTGAGGAGCGGAAGAGAAAAGGCAAGAACCACCTGGAGTCTCAAGATTCCCTTAATAAATGGGTTGTAGCCCCAAACATGTTGGGAGCCAAACAAGAACAACAACCACCTGGAGTCTCCAGGACCCTTTAAAATGGGTAGCCCCAAAATGTATGGGGTGAATTCCCTTTCAGGGGTTTTTCTGAGGGTTCAGGCAAGAACACCCAGAAAAGGGGAAACCAATGGAGTCCACAGCGTCTCCTCCACACCCGAGTCCTGGTAGACCACTGGCTCAAAAGGGTCGGAAGGAGACTCCTCTGCTTCATGGCCCCTCGCTACCCTGTTTGGGGATTGTTGTTGTTGGGAAATCGGAAGGCTTTGCTTCCAAGGCGGATCTGCGAATTCGGTCTAAGCGATGAATTGAGCCTCACCATGGGTTCATCTAAGGGGTTCTCTATATGATCATACCAATGGTTGCAAAGTCAAGCACAAGGACAAAGCACATGTCATACCATTTCAGGGTCCTTCTTGGGAAACTTGTCCAGTTCGATGCTCCGGATGATGAAGGGCGAAATGTCTAAGCCTGGTTCGCACAGAATGGGGACTCACAACGTTGGGTTTGGTGGGTCAGAAGCATGGCTCCCAACCACTCGATCGGGAGGTAAGCAGGATCTAATCATGCCTATATATATGAGGTTTGTTCAATTTATCTAGTAGTCTGCGGTACATTTGGTAAGGATCTGGAGCAGGAGACTCACTAGGTGTCCAACGTTCTTGCAGCGGAGTATATATTTTAAACTCTGACTACACGCCAACTGCTTGAACATCCACTCTGCAGTTCCAGCGTTGGCCTTTTTCCTGGTGAAGCAACAGAGGCAATCTCATGGACCTCCAAGGCTAGACCAGGACAAGCCAGCAAGATGCCCTAAGCACTATGAGGCCTTACTAGCGGTTTACTAGGTGATACACCGCCCCATAGACAGACTGGGTCCCTGCTGGCTAGAGCATACTGATTGTCGTCCTTTTGTTTTTCCTTCCGATGCCATGCAAAAGGAGAGCCTTGTCCAATTCAATGAGAACCCTCCATTGCGAAGCTGTGAGCCCAGCAGGGGTGAACATTGGCTAAGAGCTAGCACCACTGCACCAATGAATCTACCGATCACCTCCTCACTTCTTGAGTTCCTGGACTATGGCGCCTCTTTCTTTGGACTTTTTTGAGGCAAAACCACTCAGGATGTGAGAAACCTCTTTAGCATAAAGGTGAGAGAAGCCAACTCGCCGCCAAAGACCGCCGCCGAAACCATCAGGGCGCTGTAGCTAGACTTCAGGTGCCAAGGGATTTGAAACGAAACCCGACGTGCTGACGTTCCTTTTTATGTCCAAACCAACTTGGCCTTATGTCCACCTAACAGATTTGGGACAAAATGGACGCACGGGATTGATGCACCCATCTGGGTGTGTCGTTTTTGAAGGTTGGACCTTTTAGAATAACGCAACCGTTTTCCTGTTCATTTCCCTCAGCCACAAAAACTCGACAAATAAGCCCAGGTGATGTCTCCAACAACCCCGAACCCCCCTGAAACGTTCCTTTTGAATCCTCCCGGAAAGCTGCCCCAAACCACCCCGAACGAACCCATTTGGGTGCATCGACCCCGCAGCTTTCAGCTGTTGGGAAGAATAAACTCGAGCCATCCATTTGGGTACTTCTGCAAAATGGCTTCAGTCTTCCTTTTGGTGTCAATTTTTCAGCCACCAAAAGCGGGGCTACCTGTTCCAAAACAGGAAGTCTCGAGCCATCCATTCGTGCTTCGGTTTTCCTTTTAGTGTCCCTCTAAAGCACCAAGAACGGGGGAGGGTACTTTTTCCAACAAGAAGAGAAACCCATTTCATAGCCACCAAACACGGGGCGTTCCCTTCTCCAAAAACGGGAACTCCACCAAAAACGGGGGAGGGGGGTATTTTCTCCACCCAGAGCCTCCCGATTTATTTAGGGCCCTCAAACATCCAGGTTTTGGAGACCCCCAAATACCTACGGGGTGTCCAATGGAGGGTCTGGGTCTTCTATTGAAAGCAACAACCTTGGTGGTTCTCAGCTTAAGTATTTGGTTGGTTTTTCTTGACCCGAGGTCTCCGCAAGGAACCCTAAGCATCAGAGCGAACCCATGCATTTGGCCATAGGTCAAGAAGAATTGGGACTTCACCAGCGTGGTGGATTCCAAGTCTCGTACCTTTGCCGCCCCTCGGATCAAATGCCTTGGGGGGGGGGTTCATGGGGGGGGGGGGTTCATGGGGTTGACAGGATTCCATGTGGTTTACAGGGGGGTTCTATGAATTTTTCACCCAGACCGGGGAAATACGTAAAAATGAGACCAAATTTTATCACACCTTGTTTTTGTTTTTTGATTTTTTTTTGGGGGCGGGGGGTGAACCCCGTTTAGTTAAGTTGAAAGGGGAACCAAACGGAAGACGGAAATTCCTTTTGGGCGGCCCCGTGAAGCAGCCACACCGACATGGTGTGTGGTGTTTGGTGCTGTCAGGTCCTTCTCCCCTCCAAACGATTTATGCTAACTTCGAGTTCTAGATGGCACGAATCGCTAAGTGGTTAGCTTTGCCATGGGTCACAACCCACGCAAACCCAATGATCAGGGTCGGTAAATGTCAGTAGCCACTCAGCTAGCTGGTTCGGCGGTATGTTAGGTATGTTTGTTGTGTGCGGTCAGAAGTTGGTACGGGTTCCCAAAAGCAACCACAAAGCTCATCCCATTTCGAAGCCATTGAGAGGCTGACGGGAATCCGCCCAAGGGCAATGCAAGTGTGAAGTTTGGGCATGCCACAAAGCTTCCACTTTTGTTGAAATGAGATGCTCGCATGTTGGTTGAGGGAAGCTATCACCACGGGAAAAAAAAGGAGACTCCTTTCTTTCAGGCGGCATCGCCGCAAAAGAATAAGCCCAGGTGATATTTATCCCCAACAGCCACCCAAAACGGCCCTCGCAGAACCTCGCGGAACCCTGGTGGAACCCTCGTGGAACCTTACCTCTCGTGGAACCTTACCTCAGGGCCCCGCACCACCCCGGAGCCTGGGCTGAGACTCCAAAGCTTTCAGCTGTTGGGGAAAAAGAAACCTGACGTGTGGAAACTTCAAGCAGAGCAGCTCTCTGAGTGGGGCCGCTGCGAGCCGAGAGCCCCCGCCCGCGACCTGCGTTGGTGTTGAGACCTGAGCCGACTCCATGGGCTGCCATGAATCGGCTTCCCTGTACCCAGAGTGTCATTGCCCAAAAGAAAGGGGTCAGTCATGGCCGCTTTTTCTAGGGGTCACGGAGACTCTAGGTAGTTGGTGGTTTGCATTCGTGCCTTGGGTTGTGTAGAGGGTCAATGGGACACCACGTCCTAAGAAACCAAAAACAATCCAAGCCAGCAACTCCATGAAGTGTTATTAGATTGCAACCAAAAACAATCCAAGCCGTCCTAACAAACCAAAAACAATTCCAAGCCACCAACTCCAACCGACCATGTCAGGAGACTCGCGGGTGTGAATTTCTGGCAATCTGGCCCGTGACTTCATTGGTTGAAGCCCCAAAAAGGAGGTCGAAGGTCAAGTCCGAGTTGTTTTTTCTTTTTTTTCTCCGGATCCTCTTGGGGCGCCTAAGGGGTTTATGAACCCCCAAAACCTTCACATTGTTTCGTTTTGAGCTTGTGACCAACCATGGTTGATTCGGGTCAGGCGACTCCAGGTGGTGGTGTCTTTGTCTTGATCTTTTTTGTTGTAGTTTCATGGGGAAGCCAAAGGGAGAACCGTTTGGCCATTTTGGGGGTCCGCATCCACAAAAGAATGACACCACAAGGTTTTGGCTGTAAGTTGCCGTTTGGACCAATGGTGTCTGAAGTTGTTTCACCGCTGTGAGGTGTGCATTGAAATCGTCAAGATGCACGTATGCTGAAGCGAGCGGCTTCGGGACCAGTACATGACTGGTTGAGGCCAGATGGACGGGCGGGCGGGGAGGGGAGACCGGCCGGGGGCTATGGGGTATGATGGGTCCATGTCCATGTCGCAGGGTTTCGGGGTCCAGCGCATGCAGCGGTTGATGCCTCGTTTCAGTGAAGACGACATGAGAACCGTCTTGGCTTCCCGATTTTAAGACGGGTTTTTGGGTTTTAGGGTATTGCATTGGAGGCCTCCGTGACCCATGGCGCCATGAGTTTGATGGTTGAAGGGTGAGAAGGAGATGCCAGGTGAAGATGAAACAGAGGTTTCCCCTGTCGGCCATAAGCCACAAGCCCTGAAGTGGTTGCCCAATGGCGACTCGTGAATCCTCGTGACGTCATGGTTCTCGCGCAAGCAAAATTGGGCCAAAGAAGGTAACTATGGTTTGGGCAGTTAAATCACCACCTCACCAGAGCAACCTCAACCGTACCTAGAGTCTCCGTGACCCCTAGAAAAAGGATCGTGACCCCTTTCTTTTGGGCAATGACCCCATTTTTTAAGGGTCATGGAGAGTCTAGGTATCCTTTTTCTTTGTTTTTTTTGCCATGTTGCTTAAATGTCTATACATTTCGCCCAGATTGGATGGGACCGGCCTACGGCAAAGACAAGTTGGCGCTTTGCGCTGTACAACGGCAGCTTCGGGTTTCAAATAGAGAGCCGAGAGATCCATTTTCTGGACACCAAGAAGCCAAGTTTCAAGGACCCAATTTTGATTTCGGCTTTTTGGATGTCCATTGCTAAACAGGTGTTTTTGTTGGTTATCTTTGAGTTCCTACTTGAGTCACTTTTTGGACTTGGACCATTTTAGCGAAACATATTTGGTTGTATTTCGGCCAATCCACGGAAGTGAGTGTCCCCTTTTAGTCGGGGCTCACTTTTGGAGGGAACACCCTCTGTTATTAGGCCGGGTTTACTAGTCCGGTGTCAACATGAACAGGACCATGTATTGGGTTTGTTTCGGCGTTGGCGTTTTGGAAACACCCTTTCGCGTAAAAGGGCCAAACTCTGTTTGGTTGCTGTTGGTTGCTTGGACCCGCGGAACTCTTTTATGATGTCAACGCGGTGCCCCCCCCCCCCTTTTTGGGACCTTGGTAAGAATCTTGGGACCTCAAAAAGGCAATTTGTGTTGGAGGTCCAAAGCCAAAACCAACGAAGATCCTGACCCCTGCGATGGAGGTTCCAATGATGTTTAGGGCTTTACATTCTCTCGTTGACGGACAAGATGCTAATAAATATGTCATGTTCCTTTCGCATTTCGGGGCATTTTGATTCCTAACCCGGGGCCCAGGTTATAACCCAACAGGGCCGAACATCGCCCCTAAGGGCAACTCGTTTTCTTGGATCGAGTTACTAAAATGGTTGCAGACTTTGGTTTGCAACTTCGCGTTTTGCTTCTCCGGAGCTCAGAAAAACAAACCTGCCCTAGGAGCCCAAGGCGCAACAAAAATGAGAACATTTGGGCCCCAAAAACCTCTAGCTGCGAAGCCTTTGCGCTTCGCAAGCGGGAGGAGAATTCAGATCGCCTTGCGCCTGGAGCTGGACGGGCTCCTTTTTGCCAGGACACCGATTCGATGAATTCGGCGGGAGTCGAGATCAGTGAGTGAGGTGAGTGAGCAAGCGGGATGGAGGGAGGGAGGTAGTCAGGGAGGAAGGGAGGGAGGGAGGGAGGGAGGGAGGGGAAGAAGAGGGGGAGAGGGGAGAGGGGGGGGAGAGGGGAGAAGGGAAGGGAAGGGGAGGGGAGAGGGGGAGGAGGGGAGGGAGGAAGGGGAGGGACTGGAGGAGAGGGGAGGGAGGAGGGAGGGGAGGGGATAGGGAAGGGGAGGGGAGGGAGGGAAGGGAAGGGAGGAAGGCAGTCAGTGAGGGAGTCAGTGAGGGAGGAGGGAGTTAGTGCGCGAGGCTCAGCGTCCCACACTGCTTGACTCAGTGAGGGTTTAAGTTGAAGAAAGCTTAAACTGCCTAAATCGCAAGAACAGATCTCTACCTAAAAAAAAACCAAAACATTTGGCAACTAACGCTTATTGCCTAGTGGTGCGTTGCTTAGCTGACTCCGGATAGGTGAGCTCAATAGACTAAGTGGGCTAAGCGGACTCATCGGACTCATAAGTCTCAGTGAGCTTGGCGGGCTTGCCGATGCCAAATGGTGCCCAAGTGTCCATCCTACTGATTATCCCGTTCACCTGTCGGCAGCTGACGAACCTTTCTCAGACTTTCTGGATGTTTGTTTAAGGTTGCTATTCTTAATATGGCTGTGGGTCAAAATCAATGGTACCACTTTGGGGTAGTTGCACCACCCATTTTAGCGGGGATCGGGATGTTCACTGCGGGTAACGATAATTTGGCCCATTGCCATATCTTGGCATCTCCTGGGACGTACATGTCATTGTTGGGCTGGCGAGCTTTTTCACGAACGATCGCTATAGGGGGCTTCGTCCCACAATGCCTGTTTGAATCAAGGTTCGGCGGGGCCTTAAGTCGCAAGAACTAATCTTTACCTGGGACCCCACCCCCCCCCCCTCCCCCCCTCCCCCCCCCCCTCCCCCCCCCTCCCACCCCCAACGCACAAGCATATTCCATCATATTCTGACGATCTGGTCCACATTTTTTTTTCAGGTGGGGAGTCTTTCTTATTGGGACCTGGTCCAAGTGTGGGTCTGAATGACTTTCCGGATGTTTCTTTAAGGTTGCTTTTCCTAATATCTTGGCACTTGGGTCGTATGTGCAGTGGGACCCTCATGACTACCAAGTGGGTATCTTTTCTTTTGAGGGCATCTCGCCTTTGGTGGGGAGTGTTTTCAAGAGAAACCAAACCCTAGGAGCCCAAGACCTGAACATATTGAGCTTTTTTGGGAACCCCCCAAAGGCCAACTCATTATTTTTAAAGGGTCCAAGGGCTGAGGAACCCTCCGCCTTTGGACCCACTTGCCTGTCAGGACTGCTTTGTCGCTCTGGTCCTACCCTGCACAGGGGACGTTGCGAGCTGACAAAACTAGGCTGGCTGCCTCCCAAAATATGCCAGAATAAGAAAGAAAAGTCGCTTCATGGACTTCTGGTTCTGAGTGACTGGACTTCTGACCAGGCCAGAATGCTGGACTTCTCGTGGTCCCTTTTTTTTCTTCAAATTTTCTTCTTGTGGACCCCATATCCATGAACCAACCCTAGGTTTCCCAGTAGTGCCCTTTCTGTCCCCCTTTTTTGGGGGAGGGTTCCCCTACTAAAACAGACCACAGACAAAAAGTTGGTACCCTTCTTCTAACCTCTTCTTTTGGAGGACCTAGTAATGTTGACCCCATATCCCTCAACCAACCAGTTTATGAATCGCGGGGGTGGGGAGAGGCTCCCCTCCAAAAGTGGTCTGATTCATTCCTACCGGCGAGAAGCACCAACCCAACAGTGGATGGACGAAATCCATTTCGCACCGCCTAAGAAACCCTCTGGGAATGAGTTGATTCCCCCTGTAAATACCAACAAACCATGGCTCCTTATTGTTTCTTGGGTGGTGCGAAATGGATTTCGTCCACCCACATTATTAATAAGC